GATATCTTAAATTTTCGCCATTTCTTCAAAATATTTTTCTAAATTCCAAAAATTTCCCAAAATTTTTATAAATATAAACTATAAATTACCTGAATCTCGTGATTTTTCTACAAAAAGCATCGTTGGAAATGTGATTTATCACGTATTATTTTACAACTAAAAGGGCACTTCTGCCCCCCTGCCCCCCTAGCAAAAGGCAAGGGGGGCAGCCGCCCCCCCCTGCCCCCCCCAGTTCCGGCGTCCCTGATTATGAGAACCAAGCGCTTGAACGGGAAGAAATTGCAAACTAATTCAGTGAAGATATATAGCGCGGCGTTTCAAAGAACAACTATATAATTATAACTTAACAGAAACAACTCATAAACGTTTAAAATATACCTAAGTTTAATATTAACCTGTTCATATCTGCGTAGCATAGCCATTTTATTTCGAAAACGTTCCATAGAAGCGAAATTAAGGACTACAGTTTAAAATGCATATTTGCTAACTGACTTCGTGTCAAAATGGCACCTCAAAGCTCCGATCAGATTTCAAATTTGCCACAAATAATTTGACTATTAGTCAGCTCTGCATGATTGGCTTTGCTTACAAAGCTTTGTTATGATTGGCCACTGCTAGAAGCATTTGTTAGTCTGATTTTATTGTGGGATTAAAATACGGTCGCAAGGAATGTTTGATTTAAGTATAAATTCACAAATTCAAGGTACAATTTGAGCTTTATTTTATATATTTCTTGTAACAATCACGCATTATTATAATGTATTATAATTGCAAGTGGAAATTCGGGCAATTGGTAGGGAAAATCAAGAAGAGTCGGGCCCATTTATCAGAAAATACGTTAAAATCTGGTTATTTCATATAACAATTCTCCATAAAAATTCGGGCAAACTTCCAACTGACCCCACCCCTCCCACCCCCGCGGAAACATCAGCCCCCGCCTACTCCTATGAGTGGAGTTGTGGCTTTTGTTAATTGTCAGTTGAACTGTAGTTGAATTGTTAGTTGAATATTAAACTGGCCAGTTTTCAAAAAGCTGCAATATAATATATTTATAACCTACAATATACGAAAAGTTGGCTCGCTGAAACAGTCATTCACTATAAATTTTGCAACTAATTGTTGCACTTATTGGAAGAAAAAAATTGGAAACTAACTCTAAAATAAACTGTTAATTAATTGGGATACGAGTATAATTTCTAGCTCTTAACATCTTTAATCACCGACGTTTTTTAATTAACTAAATATATACAACTTACAGGGCCGTTTACGCCAGAAAGATCTTATAGCTTGTGACAGTATAGTCTTCCGTCATATCCCCATCTTACAAAAGTTATTGATACAAATTTGTTTTAATGCATACTTAACTGTACGGGGAGAACGCCCTCATTATTTGCCCCAGTATAGTTTTAATTTCTTAAAGCATGCTTCTACTCTGATATCGTCAAGTTATATGAAACAATTTGAAAACATGATAGAAGTCGTTTCGTCTAGTTTAAAATTTGGAACACCGTGCCACGTTTGCATGTAGGAGCAAATTTGCACACCATCTCAAAAACTCTCTTTAAAAATGTGTACAATAATTAACATTCGCCCTATATTTTTATACTCAATATACAAATTTCAAACTTCACGAGATCTAGAAACTTGCAATATGTGAGAAATATTGCCTTTCCATAATAATTATGATCAATTAAAATGAGGAATCGACAACATGTATGTTTGTTTAAACATCGATGCCGACGACTAAATTATTCAAAGACACGTTTTTCTCGACAAATTTAATTTATTTAAATCAAGGAGAATTATTAAAATAAACAGATATATACTTAGCGATACTGCTCAAGGATATTAAACGCTATAATCTCCATCAACCATTTCATTTATGACATTCTATACTTATACAATTATGCACTGTGTTGTAACTGCAGCAGGCAATTCGCCAGTTGTAGAAATTTAATGTATCAGTCAAGTGAATCGACATAACAGTTGGGAAATTTGCTGTCGCTGGCCAGCAAATTTCGGGCGCTAGCGAAAATTTTGTTTTAAATTATTAAAATGAGCAAAAACAAGTTTTTGGGCTTCTCGTTTGGGACGAAAACTGTGGATGTGCAAGAATTTGAGTTCAGTTTTTTAAAGGCTGTTGAAAAATGTCCTGGATAAAAGACTTGGACAATTGGACAATTATAACTATTTATTTCTACGACGAAATATTGACGAAATTTAACTTTTTTCGATGATGCAAGTATGAAATTAAAAAAATAAACTCAGGTTTCGGTTGAAAATTGTTTTTAACGCATTTTTCTACTCAGAAATATCGTTGGAAAGTTTATTTGTGACTAAATCCTTGAAAACACTTAGTGCAAAAATCGTGATTTTGCTAAAAATAGGAAAAAGCTAAATTTTCAACTTAAGATTGTCAAAAATCTAGTCGAGAGCCTCAAAACGAGACTATCTCTAAATAATTCTTCAAAGATTTCTTAATTCACTAATCAAAGTATTGTTCATATGAAAATACGGGTTGATATCAAAAACAGCACAACCGTCTAATGTAGTCTGTAGTAGTCTGAATAAGTGCCTCTGGATATGCCGCTAGAAATTGCATGTGTTTTCTAATCCTGTTCGTAAAAGCATATTCGTTGAAAGATTAGAGTCTATTGATTCAGAAAATATGAGCAGTTTTGAAATCATGCGAATACGTTTTCATCTCTCTCCAATTTAATACGGGGTTATTTACGGGGGTAAAGGTTAGTACAATGAAATAAAAAATTAAAATATTTTAAAATCTAGCCGAGAGCCTCAAAACCAAATATGGTTTAAACTACTCATTAAAACATATACTTTATATTGGGAGATAATTCATTCATCTAAAAATACGGAACAGTAGGAATTATTGGGCATTTCCATCGGAATACCGGCAGTTCCGATATATAAGGTTACGCAAAAGTTGCAATTTTATAAATATTTTTAGCCTGTGAACGTTCTCATACCTTCCTCACCTTCTTAACAATGCAATGGATTAACAATATTTTGGTTAGCAGAAAAAACGAGACAAAAACGCAAATAAAACGCTCAAAAATCAAATTACTGTATTACTCGCCCCAAGTCTCTTTCTCTTAAACCGCGCAAAATGTAGCGCATGCGCAGACAAATTTCCCAACTGTTGTCTTAGTATTTATTAATTCAATACCTGTTGGTAGACAGCATCAACACCAAGGTGCATCAGTATGTCGATAACGACAAGCAAGTTTGACGGTAGGCCAAAGGACGCGCATTCTCTACACAAAAATGACACCTGTTCAGCAGAACGTAGGCTACTAAAAGAGGTTTGCCGGCAATCTTTCAAACACTGGAGTTTCAAAAATTTGGGAAATCTGTCTGACAAGTCGTTTGTGACAATTTTTCCGCTGCCTGTTAAAATAGGTAGCGCCCATATTTTGGCTCGCATAAAAGGACCCGTAACATAATTATATGATGATTATTGATGAATATTTAAAAAAGAATTCACCCAAAAGCCAATCGTATTGTATAAAAATTGATAATGAAATGCAGACTGTGGCTTATTGACTCTATAGCCGTTAATTGACTAGCAGAGCAAATTACAACACAGTGCGATGAACATGCACAGGCTAGTTCGCATGTGCATGTCTTAGAATGAGGGTTTTATTAAACTTATGTGCGTTAATTTTCGTCTTGCAAAAAGAAAAACCGAGCGAATGCTCGATTAAACAAGCCATCTTTCACAGGAAGGTACAAAATTACTTTGCGAATCACGTCATTGGAACAAGTCAAGCAGAAAGCGAGCTAGAATGTTGTATAAATTGCGTTGGAGACGGATCATGCGCGTCGGTAAATTACAAAGCTGCTGGAATCGGTAAAGGTCTATGTGAACTCAACAACAAGACACTTCAAGAAACATCTGATGCTGATGGAAGTATGCATAACCCTGAGTTCAACCACCTTTATATAATCAAAAAGGTATGAATCGAAAAACACACGAGCATTATTCGATACTGTTGTAGTTATAAACGATTGCGTGCATGTTATAACAGTTTTATTCATGTTGATGATACAGGGTGTATATTAAAAACTTGTAATCCAAGTAATCCAACTTTGGACAGGTTATCGTGTGTTAATAATGCGCTTAAGGAAGCGACGCTAGTTTTTGTCAACACGGAGTCATCCTAAAAAATTGGTATAGCTAATTTTGGCGGCATTTTGCATCATAGCGCTTTAAAATCAAAATGTTATGTTTTGTCATTTGCGTTGAAGATTACCATTTATAATATAGCATTTGTAAATTCTGAACGCTGATTGCCTAAGAGCCGTGTTGATATAACTCAATGTCAACACGGAAACATCGGAAAATGTCTGCGTTTTTGAGTGAATTTATATTTAACAAATATAAATCATTTTTTCCGTATTGATATATAGTTATATCAACACTCGTGGACATTGGAAAAACTCGAGAAATTGTATGAAAACACTCCGCCCTTCGGGCGTCGTGTTTCCACACAATTTCTCGTTTTCCCAATTTCCACACGTGTTGATATAACCGTATATCAACAAGGAAAATGTTTTATATTTGTTAAATATAAATTCACTCATGGACACTGTTTTTAATCCCTCCCCACCTCGATAATCTGCAGACGTCCATGTTGAAAAAAAGTTGCTTCAAGCTCCCTAATTTTTACGTATGTACGAGTATTATTCCATGCAGCTTTGTATTGATCATGATGAAGATCACGATTCTTAGCACTCAAATGACATCGATATCGTTATGGAATCATTTCAATAAAAAATAACCAAATACGACCTGATTTAAACCGCTCGGTTGAAATCGCGTTTTCTACTTTAGGATTCAAATTTTCATCCAATGTTCGAACATGTGCCCAAATGTTTGTTGCCCATTTGGCAAACGTATGGCATGGCGAGTTCGGCCTGCAAACGCCCATTTCTTTATACGTTTTAACCACTCAGTTTCGAAAAGAATCCTTGAGACAATGGACCATTTGCATTATAGACTAAATTTTGATCTAGACAAAACTCATCACAGCTTGAAAGAGCATGACAAAATTAGTAATATTCTAAAGTTTCGTTGCGAAATGTTATAAAATGCGGATAATATACCTTGCGAAGTCTGCCGTTTTTCAGTCATTTTGTATTACGCGCACGGGAAATTGACAGCCCAATCGGGTGTTGGGGCATCAATTTCCCGTTTGTAATACAAAATGACTGAAAATTGAAAATTTCGCAAGGCTATATTATCCGCATTTTACAACATTTCGCAACGAAACTTTGGAATATTACTAATTTTGTGATGCTCTTTCAAGCTGTGATGAAATTTTTGTCTAGATCAAAATTTAGTCTATAATGCAAATGGTCTATTGATAGTTGTTGATGGTGGATTTTTTTAGTCTATCTTTTCAAGCATGTATATAGTGATCGATATTCGAAAAAGTCCTTCAGTCAAGAATGCGTTCCTATTAATTCAGGAAGAACTCGAATTAAATCATTTTTGCGACGTTAAACACTGAACAGACATTCAGCTGCTCATCGCATACTCCTTTAAAATAATGATAGGGATTATAATTTTTAAGCCGAGAATTGTGGCATCTTCGTTGTCTTAAGTTTTAGCGTGCGTATATAGTGGGAAAAACTAGATTACATATAGATAGTGTATAGTGAAGTGGATATCAACTATTGTTATATGTTAGCACCGATTGATATGTCGATCGGCGCTTTCTGTCAAATAAGTGCAATGACAATGGCTTCCGTTGAATAGCTAACAATTGACTCTCCGTAGCCGGAAAGTCGCATGCAACAATGCACAGATCGAATAACACCAGCTGTAGAGTTCCTTAAGCTAGGGTCACTTCTTGGCCCATTCTTCTCTCTATACTAAAGGTTTGAAGCTATTTGTTGAAGCTAGAATAAACTTTTCGACATTATATTCGTAATTTGCAACCTGGGGCCCGTATCCTAGGAAACGGAATAAAACGCGGGAAAGTTGACAAAAACCTGTTTGCTGCGAGTGCCAGCTGTCGTATATGCGTAATAAAAAAAGTTGACTAAAAAATTTAACATGTTTTTCTAAAAACTGTCCTCAAAACAAAGCATGAAAGTTGAAATAATACTTTTGAGAAGACATACAGTAACTCTCCTAATATAAGTTCTGAGCTTATATTTGTTCCTGAGAATTTTTTATGGGCTTATACATGGGGTGGGGAGGGAGGGCTTGTATACGGGAGATCTTATATACGGACGACATTTGATGTTTAACAAATATAAAACATTTTCCGTGTTGATATACAGTTATATCAATACGAGTGGAATTGGGAAAACGAGAAATTGTATGGAAACACGACGCCCGAAGGGTGGAGTGATTTCATACAATTTCGAGTTTTCCCAACTTCCACGAGTGTAACGTTGATATAACTAATATATCAATACGGAAAAAATGTTTTATATTTTTTTATAATATAGCAATGTCAAAAGCCCGAAGAATAAGAAAACTATGAATTCCGTGTTTACAAGCGGCGGAAAATTTCCCGTGTTGACATGGAGCGGTTATATCAACACGGCTCTTAGCCAATCAGGGTCCAGTATTTACAAATGCTATATTATAATAATAAATAGAGGATGTTAGACGGTTGCGAGGATACAAGGATTTTATGTTCGAGTGGCAAAAAGAATATCTCACGAGCGAGATATTGTTTCTGACACAAGAACATAAATCCATTTTTTTTTTTTGGACAATAGTGTTTTGCTGGAAACTAAACTATTTGTTGAACTCATGCGTCACTACATCCGGGACCAGATGCGCGTATTATATTAGAGCAAACATAAAACCTGAATAAATTTTGCTCATCTCAAGATGTCTTTCAAATGTTATGGTTTTTATTTCCAACGTCAATTTCGTTTTATATACGAACCAAAGACCATTTGTATTTCCAAAACAACAACAATGAAAATGGCGGGAAATTTTCAAACTTTGTTGTCACTCGCAAGCGTGAAATACGGGAGATACGCACATCCGGTCGCAGATATAGTGGAACATGAGTTGCACGAGTGTTTAGTTTCCAGTAAAACGCAATTGTACACATAATAAAAATATTTATTGCATCTGTTAACTATACCGTGAACAAAAAGGAATATCAACGAACAGTATGTAACACATAATAAAACAAGTTGGTTAATATTATAATTCCGTGGCCTAATAGTTGTCCTGGAAGTTTCTTTTCAAAATATTGCTTCACTTAATTTTCTGTGGTCCAAATTCTTTATCGTCCAACGGGATACATTCATACATCCCCTCATACGCACTTATGTGAATGGACCAGTTTCCTCATGCATGCCTATAATTCCACTTATTTCTTTTAGTTTTATTCCAATATGTCGTTATGTGCCATTGTGCACATGAGCATCATACTTCAAGTAAAATTTTGTTCATTTATTTCTAGCAACCTGAAGATCCTGTCCCGAAAAACACTCCACCACAAAATACAATGTCTGTAACGACGACAATAGACTTTTCGACAACTCAGGCAACAAGTAAGTTCACACCAAGTAAATTTTTAAAATGTCAGTTTTAGAAATGATCGATAATAATCATTCAAACAGAAAATACTTCGGAAACTCTAACTACAAAAGGTGTAAAAGCTTTAAGCTGTACATAAGTGCACAATAATGCTCTAATACAAAGTTATTCAGCCTTAATTTAGAAATTGACTTTGTACTAATCTTTTTACAGCAAAATCCACACCGAAAGAAACTGAAGGTTCAATTTTTCCGACAACTCAACCAACACGTATGTTTCAATTGATCAATGTAAAAATTCTGTGTTCAGTGTGTTAGTATTTTGAGCGTGTTAAATTTTTTTGTATAAGTCAAATTCATAATTGTAGCAAAAAACTCCCAGGGGACTAAGGCGGGAAATACGCGGTATGCTACAACTGAAAGATAACTTTGATGCGTTTGTTCTGAAAAATTTCTTGAAAATGTTTTAGTGGTTCTACCATCGTTACTAATTCATCCTGTACATAATTGCACAATAATGTTCTGAAAAAAAGTTATTCAGCTTTATTAATTTAGAAATTGTTTTTGTACTTATATGTATTATTAATTAATCTTTTTCACAGCAAACTCCACACCGAAAGAAACTGAAAGTTCAATTATTCCGACAATTCAACCAACAAGTATGTTCTAATGAATCAATGTAAAAATTCTGTATTCAATCTGCTAGTATTTTGAGAGTATTAAATTTTATTTTTTTATACAAATCAACTTTATAATTGTAGCAGGGGACTAAAGCGAGAAAATACGCGGTATATTAGTTACAACTGAAAAAAATCTTTATGTGTTTGTTCTGAAGAATTTCTTTAAAATGTTTTAGCCGTTCTACCATCGTTATCATCCTGCAAAGAACTATTGGAGAGAGATGGGTATATAAATATATTATACATTATCATCAGTACTGTAAATTAACGATGGGCACGATTCAGATACCATGCAAATACCGATACTATCGATACAAGAAAAAGTATCGATACCTTTGATACTTGCAAAATGTATTAGCAATTCGATATCACTTGGATTTCCAATATACCTGGTCAGCATTTATAAAAATTGCAGAAATGTGAAGCGTTTTTTTGTACTGTATACAATACTTCACAAGGCATGTGCTAAAACCTGGACGATGGACGATTTTTATTTACAATCAAGACACTAAATCCCGCACACTTCCGCTCTTGTACTTTGTTGTCATTTATTGTATATTTCGTTGTGTATTAATAATAATACTTATATTGCAATACTTGTAACAAAGAATGGCCTTTCCGTAAGATTCACTGCATAAGTCAAGGGAGCACGCCAGAACTATTTGTGTAAATTTAAGCCTGTTATCCACTTGCAAATTTTTCATTTGTCTTTGGTCCTTCAACTGGAACTAATTGGATAAAGACAAAAGAAAAATTCGCAAGTGGTAAACTGGCTTTATACTAACCTTTTAATTACATGTAAATGTTTCATCGGGCGCCATTTTGAATGTTGAAAGCGGTATATATTGTTAGCTTATCGCAGGCGCGATAATTTATGTTCATCTTTGACACTAATTTATGTTACACGATGATACTCCGAAGGGCGACCGAGATAGATCCGAAATTTAAAATACCGCGGAGAAAAAATAAAAAATAAAAAATAAAAAATAAAAAGGGGAGTGAAACGGCCGAACACGTGATGGGATAGGGATATTAGCCAATGACAATGCGTATATAGAGATTACTTCATGGTTGGTGAGCGCGTACGATTTTTAATCACGAGGGGATTATTACAAGTGAACGAGTGAGCGCAGCGAACGAGTGAACTTGTAATAATTTACGAGTGAATAAAAGTCGTATTCGCGAACCAACCATAATGTTATTTGTTTATTATATAAGTACTGACATTTCATTCACGATGACAAAGTTTTAATGTTATTAATTTCTATGTATTTAAAGTTTTCAAAGTTTTTAATGCCTTCTTAAAACTAAATCGTTGATAATGCTTGCAGCCGGGCAGTGTTTTCTTAAGATGTCGCTCAAAGATTGCTAATAGACTTCGGAGAGAAGATGACTCGTATATTCTTTCCCGTCTTTGGTTATGACCGAATTGATAAACTCAGCCGGACACGTACTCGTTCAGTTCTGCTGTAGGAGTATCTTCCATTTTTTTTTCTTCATTCTTGGTTTCCAAAAACAAGTGTAATACAGTAATAGTTTTACATCTCTTTCGTTTTTTTGTGAGGTACGAGCTTTATTTTCTTGTTCTGAAATAAAATTGTCAACAGAAACGGCGTCCGTAAATCACGCAGCTATTTTGATTTTCAAATTGAAATAGGTTTCGCGCCAAAACATTTTTGGAGGAAAACGAACGTATTTTCCAGTACAATCATTTTTCACTAGTGAAAAAACATCGTTTGTCCAATCAGAAGGCGCGAACGATGTTGTTTCACTAGTGAAATTTCATCGTTCGCGTCGCTGATTGGCTGTGGCAAAATTCCGTACGATTATTACGCAATGCCATTTTAATGAATAAATCTCAGTACTTATATAATAAATCCAATTTCGTTATCTGGCCATGCTCGTTGATAAAGAACTGTCAAATCTGAAATCTATCAAATCGTTGCTCGCCAGCAGTAAATTTTCGACAGCAGAAAAACAAAAACATTTGCGAATGCTGGACACAAAATACAGTATTAATAATTCATGAAGAAAATTCAGTAAGAAAATTGAAGGAGAAACCATTCCGTTATAGTGTAAACACAATATACTGTAGTCAAGTAATACTAGAAATGTAGTATAATTTTTTTAACGGAATGTTAGCCGTAGCGTCATTAGTGTAAACGCGGCCTCGTACATTTGACAATTCTTTAAATAGAAATTAAATTACACAAATTACTTCTATAATCAATGCTTTGTAATTAATTGTAAATTTTACAATTCTTAACATTGCAGATTATGTTCACCTATGAATGATTAACAATACTAAATGATAGTTAATAATAAAGCAATAGGTTATCATTTTGTTGTCATTTACGATATTTTGTTTTGTATTACTTTTCTGGCAAAACATTTAAATGGAGTCCCTCAGGGATCGATACACGGGCCATTACTGTCCAATATATTCATGAACGATCTTACCTATGTAATTAAAGAAAGCACAATATTCGCCTACGCAGATGACACACAAATTTTTACGCGGACAAAGACCCGAGAAAAGTTGAGGAGGTCATTAATTAATAAGACCTTGAACGTATTGACAAATAGTACATCGAATATCAGATAAGGGATCATTCGAAATATGAAGCAATGTATGGTGATGGGTGGAAGAAAAGAAAATCCACAGTTTCGATGCTAAAGCACAGTTATTCCAAATGCCACAGAGGTGGATACGCCTGGTGTTATTCTTGATGAGAAACTTAAATTTGATCAACATGTCGCTAAAGTATGCAGGAAGGTAACCCAGAAGATCGCAGTGGCTACCAAGTTATGCGTTACCAATAATAAAAATTAAATTTCACTACTTATGCAGACAGCAGTGAATCTTACGGTAAAGCCATCTTTGTTGCAAGTATTGCAATATTAGTATTTAGTATAAATTTTGCATATCGAATGAGCTTTCGCGCATTCTAGTAAATGAATAGTAAATCTGAGGCATTATTTACCACCTGGGTAATAAATAATGCTTTTCAAAAAGAATGATTCGGCAAATTTGGTTTCAAAATCGACAAAAATATTGAAAAAATAGTCCCCAAAAAACGAAAGAAGCACAAAATGTTGTATTTCACTTGAAAGGTAGGATTCCTTTATTATTTTACTCTGTCATACATATTCACGGACAATTTAAAACTTATTTAAAACTCCGAAAAATTCACTTCAAACAAATAGCAAAAACCATCAAGACTTTTGGGAAAAACCTTGGCGTGATATTCTTTAAAATCCATTTTATTTTGTATGCTATAGATTTCCCAATTTGTGCCATGCTATTTCTTTTGATATGTCATGTTTTCATTGTGCTGTATGCATGGTGTTCAGACCGCTGTATTGTGTTTTCTAAACTTGTAAGGGAAAAAGTGTTTATATTAAAACTTTATTTCGAACGATATAGTTTTACATTTCATTTTACCAAATTCCTCAGCCATTTCCTGAAGACATTAATGCTAAACAGAAACTATTTTTAATTTTAAGTGTGGTGAAAGAGTCATTTTGTCATTGTGTTTATATTCCAAGCAGAAATCGAGAAAAACAACTTTGTAATAGAGCAATAAAGTCACACAAGAAGCCATTTTGAAAGCGTGTGCGTACAAGAAATACTGCAACACTATTAGTGAACAGGCCTAAAACAGTTCTATTTCTGAAATTTAATTGAACTGATATTCGGATATTTTGTTTTATATATTCATTAAAAATTTATACTACAACTATTATTCGCCTCATGCTGGCTCAGTGGTTACGGTGAATATTCACCAGTAATCACTTCGCCTTCGGCGAATAATTGTTAAGTGTTATTAATACACGACGAAATATACAATAAATGACAAAAAAGTACAAGAACGGTAATGTGCGGATTTTAGTGTTTTGAATGTAAATAAAAATTGTCCATCGTCTAGGTTTTAGCACATGCCATTTCACAAAACAATATACCATAACAGAGCGTTTGCACATGACGTTCCAATTCAAAAGAATTTTAATTTAGACTTTTAAATTATTTTTCTGGAACACAAACATGATCGCCATGGCTTCTGTTGAGTTGGTCCATGGGGAATGAGACAAACGATCCATAGAGCTGCATGAACTCACACTTTTGCTTTAGTTGGTGCTGATTAATGTATTCATAAAAGGCAGAAAACAAGAGTTATAAATAAAGACAGACCGGGTCATGATCAATTTGATGCCGTCACATCCACTTTATTGTTGTGACGTCATTATTAATCAAATTGGAGTATCGATGTGGATATCGACCAAAATGTGTAGTATCATGCTTGGTATCGTATCAAATTAAAATAGCTGATCATATGGAGATATGCTTGCATGCAAGCTTGCTGCTTATTAGACATGTTTTCGTTTGCTTTTTCTAAGTGCAAAATCTCATGGTCAAGTGTTTCCTGGGATGATCCACTTAAAATCAGAGTAGCGAGCCAAATATTTCTGATACCAAGGCTTGTTGGCGTATAAACAAATAAATATCAAATCGTATTTATTGTGTAGATGCTACAAACAGAGCTTTAACACGCGAGTACTAATCTCTCAAGCAGAGCAACACAATATGACGTTGAGATTAGACAATCTGAAAATTTTTAAAATAAAATAAAATGAACCATCGCATTTTAAAATGTCTATTTAATATATAAATGGTATAAATCTTGCATAGAGTTAACTTTATCATTTAATGACCATTCAGCTATTACAATAAATTCTACAACATGCCATGTTCCGACATCATGTTCCTGACATAAACATAACATTTTATTATGCAGATCGTTAATCAGTGGCAATTATACATTGCAAAATAATGTTACACTTGAACAATATGAAGTTTACTGTCACATGGATGAAATATCTAAATGTGAAACGGGAGCCTGGACACTAGTGATGAAAGTGGATGGCAGCAAGGTAAGTTCTAAATCCTACTGTAAAAAGCAGAAAAGGACGGATATAGGTGTAAAAATTAAACCGTGATTTGTTTCATGCATCGCAATCAGTTCAAACGCTGCGGGCTGTGGAATTGGTTAAATCCAATTTCGTGTTCGAAGAATTAGAATTACTAACATTTTACAGTAATTTCTCCATGCATTTAAGGTGGCTCCATACACTTTTCATCATCGGGGGACTGGTACCTAATCTTGAGTTTTCGCGCGAAAATATTACAAATATATGCAAAAATAAATACA